TTAGTTTCATCATTCTCCAACAGGAGTCCTAACATATGATCAGTCCTAGAGAATGTTCTATTCCTTATTAAAACTATGTATAACCTGTATCTACAGGGTGAATGTTCTGTAATGTATTAGGTCCCTTTGGTAAATGGTGCAGATTAAATCTGATGTTTCTTTGTTGATTTTCTTTCATAGACGATGTGTTTAGTGCTGAGAGTAAGGTGCTGAAGTCCTCAACTATTACTGTATTGAGTCTCTCCTTTTAGAGCTAAGAATATTTGCCTTATATATCTGGATATGCTGGTGTTGGCGCATATATATTTACAATTAACTGTTGTATCCTGCTGAATTCCTCTTTTTATTATTATAGGTTGCTTAACTTCGTAAGCCTGGTATATTGATGCCCTTAGGGTTCCAGTAGCAAAAGTATCTTTGTTTCTTCTGTGTCCTTTATGTAACTATGTCCTAATTAATATGGTGTCTTTAAGGATATACTGTGTGTACTTCCAAAAAACCTTAATAGATGTCTTCGAGTCATATTAATGTTTCCTTTTGTGATAATTATGTATGTATTATGGCACTGTCCATATTGGTATATTTGGTCTGTGTGTACCTCACTGTATTACTGGATCCTTTTGATCATATTCTTTGTGAATGTGATGAAGACTATGACTTCTCGCTCCAGAAAAATGTACATGACACATACACAATTTTCTTCTTCTTCTCCTCCTCCCTCTCCTCTTCCCTCTCCTCCTCCCTCTTCTCCTCCCTCTCTTCCTCCCTCTTCTCCTCCCTCTCCCTCCCTCTCCTTCCTTCTCCTTCCTTTGCCTTCTTTTGTGTGTGTGTGTGGGGGGGGGTCTCACTCTATCACCCAGTCTGGAATGAGTGGCATGATCATAGGTCACTGCAGCCTTGACCTTCTGGACTCAGATGGTCCTTCTGCCGCAGTCTCCCAAATAGCTGGGACTATAGGCATGAGCCACTATGCCTGGCTAATTTTGTGTGTGTATGTGTGTGTGTGTGTGTGTGTGTGTATAGATAGGGGCTTGCTGTGTTGGCCAGGCTGGTCTCAAACTCCTGGGCACAAGCAGTCCTCCTACTTTGGCCTCCCAAAATGCTGGGATTACAGGTATGAGTCCCTGCATCTGGCCCATACACAATTTTCATATAATTTCAGGGAATTTCTACATTCTATGAATCTCATTCATGGATTCCTAGGTTACTTGTGCTAGCTGATTGTGGTGACTCCTGCCTGTAATCCCAACACTTTGGGAGGCCAAGGTGGGAGAATCGCTTGAGTCCAGGAGTTCAAGCCCTCGTCTTTACCAAAAAAATAAAAAAGAAGAATACTTGTACTAGATTGTGAGGTTACAGAGGTCAGGGCCATTACTTCTTCCTTTTTTATAATGCACAATTCTTTGTACAAAGTAGGTTCTCAAAAAATATTGTTAGCATGGGATTTTGATATGCAAGTTTACTTTCCTCATTCTCCGTCTTACATGACAAAGATTATTACATTGGGCTAAAAGAATCCTATTTTCTGTATATAAGACACATTTAAAGTAAAGTGAGCCAGAAAGCTTAGAATTAAAAGGATAGGGAAGATGCAATAGAGCAATGCTTGCTTTTTAAAAAACAGCATACAGAATAGAATTAAATACAGAAATATGTTTCTCTGGGGACAAAGATGGTCATTTTTTTAAAAAACAGAAGTATAAATCCACATTGATAACCTAACCATAAATATTTGTATACCAAATAATATCAATTTGTCTGAAGATAAATTTTTAGAAATATGAAGAGAAACAGATAGTCAGTAGTTGTGGTAAATTTTTGCCTCACCCTCTTAATTCTTGACAGATTAAATAGGCAAAAGAGATAAATAATTCCAAATCTTCCATGTAGCTGTAGAATAAAGTTGTTGTTTTATCTGTTAAGCATTTAATTGGAAAGATAGTTTCATCATTCTCCAAGAAGTGGTCTTGAGTAATCTATTTGACTTGACAACCACTTCAAAGTGGTTGGGGAAAAGACTATGCAAATTGAGATTTCTACTTTAAAGATATTAAAACTTGTGATAAAGTTATCTTCCTTTTTTGTGAAGAAATTTTTTTCATTGTAGTTTTTCTCAGGAATTCTTTTTTCAATTTTTACATAAATGGTAATTTATATATTTTAATGTAAATTATCTACTAAAATACATTCTATTACAAATATTCACTTATGGGGCATGGGATGATCCAAGATTTCAAAAGATGGATTATTGAAAAATTGAAGTGCTTCCTGAGAATATACACATAATAAAACTGAATGAAAACCATAAACATAAATCAGGATATAATCATTTAATGCTATCTGAAAATACTTTTTTTTTGAGTCAGGGCCTCACTCTGTCACCTAGGCTGGAGTGCAGTAGCACAATCACAGCTCAATACAGCCTCGACCTCCTGGGCTCAGGTGATCCTTCTGCCTCAGTCACCTGGGTAGGTGGGACTGCAGGCACATGCCACCGTGCCTGGCTAATTTTTTGATTTTCTTTATAGAGATGAGATCTCTCTATCTTGCCCAGGCTGGTCTTGAAGCCCTGGACTCAGGCAATCCTCTCGCCTTGGCCTCCCAAAGTGCTGGGATTTTAGGTTTGTGCTACGGCATCCAGCTGAAAATACTTTTAACTGAAGTATAATATACATTAAAAAACCGTATATGTGTACAGTAAAGTCTTATAAACTGAACATACCCTTGATAACAGCACCCAAATCAATTGGTAATAGTAGCAGTACCTCAGAAGCTCTTCCTTGCTCTAATTCCAGTCATCTCTCCAGCTACTCCAGGAGTGATGACTAGCCTCACTTCTAGCATCATAGATTATTTTTACTTGTTTTATACTTTATAACTGTAGATAGGAGACCTCAGTTCTTTACCACATGGACCTCTTTGTAGGGTTGCTTATGACATGACAGCTGGGTCCTTGAACTAGAGAGAGAAGAGAATGTCTTTTACAGCCTGTCTTGGAAGTAACACATTGACACTTTCCTCCATCATATTCAGTGTTAGTTAAAAGTGAGTCACTAAGTTCAACATATACTCAGTAGGAGAAGAATTAAATTCTACTTTTTTTTTTTTGAGTTGGAGTTTCACTCTGTCGCCCAGACGGAGTGCAGTGGCACGCTCCTGGCCACTGCAGCCTCAACCTGCTGGGCTCCGGCGATCCTTCCGCCTCAGCCTTCCAGGTAGCTGGAACTACAGGCAGGCGCTATCACGCCTGGCTAGTTTTTGATTTTGTAGAGACGAGATCTCGCCAAGTTGCCTAGGCGGGTCTCAAACCCGCGGACTCAGGCAATCCATTCACCTCGGCCTCCCAAATTGCTGGGATTACAGGCTGAGCCACTGAGCCCGGCCTAAATTCTACTTCTTAAAGAAAGGAGTATTGAAGAATTTTTGAAAAAAAAATTTTTTTTTTTTTGAGTTAGAATCTCACTCTGTCGCCCAGACTGCAGTGCAGTGGCCGCTCCCGGTCACCACAGCCTCAACCTGCTGGGCTCCAGCGATCCTTCCGCTTCAGCCTTCCAAGTAGCCAGAATTACAGGCATGAGCTACCACCCCCGGCTGATATTTTGATTTATTGTAGAGATGAGGTCTCACTGTCCAGGCGGGTCTCGAACTCGCGGGCTCAGGCAATCCACTCACCTCAGCCTCCCAAAGGTGCGGGATTACAGGCTGAGCCACCAGGCTGAGCCACCGAGCCCGGCCTGAATTTTTTTTAAAGCAACCACAAATGTCCAGCAATTAAGGTGGACACAAAATTGAACTTACAGTGATTACAGGAATGAAAGGAACATTAGAAAGAATAGAAGAGACTATGCAAAATATCTTAATATTTGTATTAGGATTTTGGGAGTAAGGATGAGTAGTTGTCTCTTCATTTTCCAAACTTTCTGTGTTGCTGTTTTGTCATTTTTATCACAGAATAATTCCTTTATATTCATATGAAAATATGACTTATTACCAAGCTATCTTAGCATAAGTAGATCATGACCTTTGAAGTGTGATATAATTATTTTCTTTCTTTTTTTTAGTGGCAAAATACACATAGCAGAGAATTTGCCATCTCAAGCATTTTTAAGTGTGTGGTTCAGTGGTATTAAGTACATTCATATTGTTGTGCAACCATCGCCACCATCCATCTCCAGAGCTCTTTTCATCTTGTAAGATGGAGACTCTGTACCCAGTAAACAATAACTCTCCATTTCTCTTACCCCCCTAGCCCCTGGTAACCACCATTCTCCATTTTGTCTCATTGATTTTGACCACTCTAATTGCCTCATAGAAGTGAAAGCATATAGTATTTGTCTTTTTGTTACTGGCTTATTTCACTTAGCATAATGTTCTCAGGGTTCTTCCATGTTGTAGTGTATGTCAGAATTTCCTTCCTTTAAGACTGAATAATATTATGTTTTTTATATATATGACATTTTCCTTATCTGTTTGTGTGATGGACACTTGTAGTACTTTCACATTAGCTATTGTGAATAATACTTCTTTGAACATGAGTATACAAGTATCTCTGGGATTCTACTTGCAGTTCTTTTGGTTATATATCCAGAAGTGGAATTGCTGGATTCATGGTAATTCTATTTTTAATTTCTTGAGGAACTGCCATACTGTTTTCCACAGTGACTATATCATCATACATTCCCACCTACAGTTCACGTGGCTTCCAGTTTTGTACATTTTCACCAGTACTTGTTATTTTCTGTTTTTGGGGTTTTTTGGTAGTAGCAATCCTAATGGTGTGAAATGGTCATAATATAATTTTTAATGGTTTATTTTTCTAAGAAAAAAAACTACTGGATTATCAGAAACTCTTGTGAGGATATAAATATATATTTTAGAGATGAAAAAATTCTTTTCTGGCTTTCATGAGCGGCAGGATAAGTCAGGGCATTTTCTTTACTAATTTTATAATATTGGTGTTCAGTGAATACTAATGATGTGATTGCAGGTAAATTGGCAGGATGAGGAGCAGCAGATCAAAAGAGGTGCCTTTACCAAATTCAAGGAGCTCTCCTAGCAAGGATACTGTTCAAGGTATAATTTTTTTAACTGAACTTAATCCCTTATTCTGGGCTAAGTAATAAAAGAAAATTATGTATGCTTTGATTGATAAAATAGATAAATAATTAAAATTCCATTTTGTTTTGGATATACAAGGTACTTCACCTTCATATACAGACTGTTTTTTAAAGGAAAAATCTTTTTTTAAAAAAAGAACCAGTATTTGTAAAATTTTTCAGAAATTTTGGCTTAATGTCAATAAATGGTATAATATAGCTTCTAATATAGTTATAGACCAATAGTGTACAGATGACAAAATTAATGGTCTTGTTGAATTCTTTTTTTAATAATGTATTAGAGGTAACCTTAAACATGATATGTTTTGAGGGAGATTGACAAACTGAAGAACATTTGGAAGAGGATTATTGGATTAGTGAGAAATCTGGAAATCAAGTCATATGAAGAGTGTTTGGAGGAAGTGAAAAAGGATGACTTATGGAAAATATGTGATCTTAAACTATTTGAAAGGTTGTTATTTGAAAGACTGAATAGATTGGGTCTTTGTTTCTACTGGTAGATCAAAGTCTGGAGTAGTTTTTAATATTTTTCACATTGCATTGTGAAAAATAATACAATACAAAATTTTATATTTGTTCAGCTGATTGGGGTAAACTGAGGATACTGCTTATTTTTGGAGTTGTCTGATATAGTTGTGGGCGGGAGTATCAGTCTGGCTGCCTGGAGTTTGGGAACCCACATTTGACAGGTGATAGATAGTACTTTAGAAGGGACTAAGCATGAATCCTTCCTAAGGACTAATGGTATCAACTCTGCATCATATGTTGAGAAGGCTGATATTATGAGATGGCAGGGAGAAAAAGCATATTTTGGCACAGTATAGTAAAGCATTTGCTGAAGAGTAGTTATGCCTAATATAGTAGTCCTGAAACCTTTGAGTACATTTGGGAACTTACAACATTAAGATTCTGAGATCTAATTCAGAGATATGATTCACTGATATTGTAAATATCAATTTTCCCCAGCAGATATAACCACATCGTGGGATGTACTTCCTCAGACCAAGGCTGCTGTAAGTAGTTTTAGTTTCTGTTTGTTTATTTCTAGTTTTTAATTGATTTCCTGTTAAGACCAAGTAGATTAAAAATTGTTCTATAGTATCTTTTGGATAAAAAAGTAAAATTAAACATTGTGGTAAGAAGTTATATACTATATAGTACAAAATAAACATAAATGACAACCATTAAATAGTGAAGTAATAAGACACTACTTTAGGTGTCAAGAGACATATAAAATACTAAAATAATTAGTGCTCTATTGCCTGATCCCGTGGGTTCGAGACCCGCCTGGGCAGCGAGACCTCATCTCTACAATAAATCAAAAAATCAGCCGGGCATGGTAGCGCATGCCTGTAATTCCAGCTACTCGGAAGGCTGAGGCAGGAAGGATCGCTGGAGCCCAGCAGGCGAGGCTGCAGTGGCCAGTAGTGGTCACTGCACTCCAGTCTGGGCAACAGAGTGAGATTCCAACTCAAAAAAAATAAAAAAAATAATAATAATAATTAGTGCTCGTCATTCACTTTTAATGACTTTGTTCATTTGGCCTTCCAAGTTGAAATGAAAATTTAAAACAATGAAGGTGGGGCTTTGTCTATGTTGGAAGCTCATTGTCAGGTGGGAAATGAAAGGAACCAGCTTTTCCTTGAATGGTCTGAGTTACCTCTTCTTTTTTGTGGCAATAACAGGTTGTTTTTTCTCATATTACTGAAGAAGAATGACTGAGGGCAACCTATTCCATTTGTGTTCTGCCCAATCTTGTTTGGAGTTTAGAATTCCAGATTTGACAGATGATGCATAGTGCTTCAGAAGGGAGGCCTTTCTTTCTAATTTGCTCTCTGGGCAGGTGATTATTCTATTATGTCTTTTTTTGTTTTCTATGCCACCTGAATTTGAATCACCTATTTCTTTACAGTCTAAGTATTTTTATAGTGTTTTCTGTTCTCTAATCTTCAGAACAGGTTTGAAAATGAATCTGGAAAAGATATTATAATCTAGGTTTGGTCCCAATGCAGGGTCAAATTTTGGCTCTATGAATACAGCAGTATACTTGTATATTGTCTCTTTTCTATGAGCATTAAACATTTATAATGTAGTAATAGTTTTTATTCCTCAATTTAATTTAGTGCTGAACTAATTTAGAGCTAAACTGTTAATAGTTGTCTCTGAAAACAATTGGGTATGTTTGGAGAAATTTTAAGATGATTAGGGGCTCATAATATAAGTGGGGGGGAATCTGATATAGAACTAAATATATAAAGGATTATTCAATTTTTTGAGTATGTTATACCATAAAAATTTGAAACAAGATAAAATTTTATACAAAGAATCTCTATATGATGAAATTATGATTTTAATTTTATTTTTAATATTTTCTGTTTTTCAACTTTTACTCTACTGTTAGGAGAAGATGCTTTTTAAAGTCATTGACAACATTGGTGGTATTACCCAAAGTTGACTTGTATTGCAAAGTGTTTGTGAAACCTGAATTCTGCCTTATGAATTTTGTCCTTCTTGTCAAACTTATTTTATAGTCATAAAACTGTAAGAAGTTGTAGCTGTTTGAATACCTGTTGTCCTAAATTTTGGTCCAGCCAAATCATTCTTTCCTCATTTTTTGCATATAAAATATACAGGATGCATTACATAATGCTATGCCACATATAATGTGAGATCATTTACTGCTTAAAAAATACTCAGCAATTTAAAAAAAACAGGTCACTATGACAAATGGAAATTCTGATATTCTCCAGAATCTTACTGATTTTCTTGTCCAAATTTGGACAGCATTGTGCCAAGTATAATTATAGCTGAAGTAATAAAGGAAAATGCTAATATTATAAGAAGGCATTCTAAGTTTTTTCTACTTTGGAGAAAGGTATTGGGCAATATCGTTTTAGATAACCATGTAACTTAAATTGTTGGAAGCTGGATTATGTAGAGAATTAACTTGTGTGTTGTGATGGTGTTTAAACTTTAGCTGAGACATATTGAAAACAAGTTAGAAGTAGTTCCTACAAGTACGGCTGTGTTTGATTCAGTCATGGATACCAAGAAGTGTTCTACAAGTGCTACCCGAAAAATAAGTAGAAAAGGTATGTATGAAGTTACTTCCAAAGATAGAAATATACTAAATATAACTTTTTGATGTTAGTTTTGTCTCAATTTAATTTCTTCTTATGGTCCCTTATATTTGCTTTTTTGTCAGACTATACCTTATTGGCATTTAATTTTTTTCCCTCTGGTATTGAATACTTATGAAGCAGTCTTATATTCAGTAACTGTAAATGGTGTTTCACCATCTTTAATTCAGGGACTTTAGCACCATTGCATCACCCTTGACAGCGAATTTTCATGTGTTTTTTAGTGATAAGAATTTCATTTTGAGTTTTTGAGGTTATGAATGTCTGATTTTTTTCTTTTCTTTCTTTTTTTTTGAGTCAGTGTCTCATTCTGTTGCCCAGGCTTGAGTGCAGTGATATGATCACAGCCACCACAGCCTCAACCTACTGGGCTCAGGTGATCCTCCCGCCTCAGATTCCAAGTAGCTGGAACTATAGGCGCACACCACCATGTCCAGCTGTTGTTTTGATTTATTGTAGAGATGAGGTCTTGCCATGTTGCCCAGGCTGGTCTCTAACCCCTGGGCTCAGGCAGTCCTTTTGCCTCAGCCTCCCAGAGTGCTGGGATTACAGGCATGAGCCACCCCTCCTGATGGTGATTTTTTCGTTTTTAATTCATAGGTATGTTATATATATCATTTTGAAAGTGAAATTTAGCTGACTTAATAAGATGTGTTTTTTTTTTGTTTTGGTTTAAAATAATAGATGAAATATTCTTTGTATAGATACTGCCATAAATTAACACAATGCAGATATTTTATTTGGTTACTTTCATGTATTTGATCTTGTGGTTTCTTAATTAGTTAGCTAAAACCTGCAGGTCAATACTTCCTAACTAAACTGTGATATTTTTTTAAACCTGTGAGTTTGTTGGATTCTATCTGACACTTCTCTTTTAAGTGAGTGCATTGGCAAAAATGAATTTTATATGGAGAGTTTTGTTTTGTGTTGTTTGCCCAGAATACAGCATCTTTGTTTTGATTGAATTAGTTTGATAATTTAACCTGAATGTTTTCATCTGCTTATATAATATCCAACTAGAGATGCCAGAAATAATAGATATCGAAGTTTTTTTTTAGATAACTAACCAAATTCAGAGTCAATTGTATTTTATATCATATGTTCTCACAGATTTCCTTTTTATTCAGATGGTAGATACTTGGATGATTCTTGGGTTAATGCTCCAGCCTCCAAATCATCTAAATCACGAAAAGAGAAATCTCGTAGCCCTCTCAGAGCTACCACTCTAGAAAGTAATGTGAAGAAAAATAATCGTGTGGAATTTCGTGAACCTTTGGTTTCTTATAGGTTAGTATTGAAAAACAAAGTCATCAAATCGGGTTAGCCAATAATATTTACAGTAAGATTATCATTTTCTGAGTTTTTAGTAGTATTTTAGCTGTGAAATAGTATTATAATGCTCTAGTACAGTGGTCCCCAACCTTTTTGGCATCAGGGACCGATTTCGTGAAAGACATTTTTTCCATGAAGGGGCTTGGGGTGAGTGTGCAGTCAAACCTCGCTGCTAATGCTATTCTGTATTTGCAGCTGCTCCCCAGTGCTAACATCACCACCTCAGCTCCACTTCAGGTCATCAGGCATTAGATTCTCATAAGGAGAAGGTAACCTAGATCCCTTGCATGTGCAATTCACGATAAGGTTCATGCTCCTAGGAGAATCTAATGCCTCTGCTGATCTGACAGAAGGGAGAGCTCAGGTGGTAATGCCGAGAGATGGGGAACGGCTGTAAATACAGATGAAGCTTCTCTTGCTGTTCACCTCCTGCTGTGCAACCCAGTTCCTAACAGGCCACGGACCGATAGTGGTCTGTGGTCCAGGGATTGGGGACCCCTGTTCAAGTATTATTAACTTTTTCATTCTCCACAAAAGATAGTGCAAAAATATTTTATATGAAATACTGCAATATATTCTTTTACAAATAAATATTTTGGGGAAAGAAATAGTAATATTTGCCACAGGTCAATATTATTGTAATAAATATATTTCCTAGAACCAAATTATTCAATCTCCTCCCTTCTTAATATCTCAGATTGTTTATTCTATATAATGAACTTTGTGTAGCTTGCTCTTCTTATTTTTTTGGTAGCAGTAATCAGTCATGTAAAATTTCTTTCTGATTAGAAATTGGAGTTGGTTTGTTTTATTTTGTTGCCAGTGGCTTCTTTCAGAAACTTAAATGTTCAAGATTGATGTATGAATTTTGATAATATAGATAATATAAAATGCTTTGCATTTTTGTTGGTTTAAGGTGTTCAACTGATAAAATTGTGGAATTTTGTATTTGTTTGAGAGACACTTTACTAATGATTTAAATGTGTTCGTGCTCTTTTTATTTTAAAGATGGGTATAATTCGGGATTAGTTATACAAGTGGTCATCGTACAGGCAAAAAAAAGTTTGGGCCTCCCTTTGGTCCCCACTTTGTCTGGTCTGAGATCAGGTACCCTTGTTGATGTTATGCCCACCCCCCCCAGCAGTATCCCGCTATTTCCAATCCCTTTGTAATAGTATTATGGTAAATGTTCAGGGTTCGCTTATGAGTGAGAACATGTGGTACATGTTCATGCTCTTAATATGGCAAATAGTAATAAGTAATAAAAACTGGGCCTATTTCTTTGTGTCATTTATAAGATTTTTTGTGTGTGTATTTTTTAAAGTATCAATCAAGAAATCAAGGAGTTTCATGTGATACTTGATAGTTCTAGTTATATGTTTGAGTATGTACTTCTAAATTTGAGATAAAGAACATGGGATTTGGAGGTGGATTATGAGTTCAATTTTTAATGTGTTACATTTGATGTAGTTTTAAAATATCTAAGTGAAAATATCCAGTAGGCATTTACAGTAAGAATGTATATGGAATGATCAGGGCCGAAAACATAAATTTGGGAGTTGTCACTAGTATTGAAGCAATAAGAGTGGTGGAAAATATTTAGAGAGAAGGCCAGGGACTTAAACTGGGTAAGAGTTCATAGTTTAGAAAAAGGAGAAGGGAAAAATTTGAAGAATAAACTCTGGAATCTCTAAACATACAAGTGTTAAGCAACTTGCCTAGATATATAGTCATTACCAGAATTGAAACTTCAAACTCTTTTATTACTTTATGAAAAATGGCCAGATCTGATCCTATCCCGCTCCATTTTCCCAGCCTAGTTAATCATTCCAATCTGATCCCATATTATGTACCTTTCTTTATTATAGCATTTTCTTTCTTTTTTTTTTTTTTGAGTTGGAATTTCACTCTGTCGCCCAGACTGGAGTGCAGTGGCTG